GCAGCACAGGCGGCACAGCACAGGCGGCACAGCACAGGCGGCACAGCACAGGCGGCACAGCACAGGCTTGGAAACCCGGGAGAAAACCAAAAAGCATAGCTTGGGCCAAGACCGAGAGCTGGGACTGAACTCTCTTCCTGAAATAACCTTCCAGAAAGGAAAAGTCACTGTAAATGTTGGCCCATCACTTTTTATGTTTGTTCTGCTGTGCATTTCAAGACCTATTTCTAAGACATCTGTTTTGATTTAGCTAATCTTACAGGATTGCGTTTACTGTAGCAAATGCTGACAGATATTTTGATAGTTGGGCTGAGTCCTGCTGTTCGGGGAACATTCTGCTGTAATTAAACACCAACTTTCCCCACATAAATCCTGGCAACACAGGAAATAGAGATGCTTTTCAGTAACCTTCTCGCCCCCCCGCAAGAACCTCAGGTGTGGCCCATCTGGACTAAAATGTCCGAGGCAGGATGAAATTAATTGCCGCTCCTTTTTACTCCCTTATTACTTGTTAAGAGAATTTCCAGGGGAGCCTTTTTAAGAGAAGATTAATTGGATTTATTTTTTAAATTATATACCATTTCTTTTAAAACACAGTGCTATGTGTTTAAATAGAAACACAGTTGAGTGCCAAGTGTGCATCAATATATCGATCCTATTCAATCTCTTGAGGAGTATTTGCCTAAAACTTTAGAAGAAGAAGAGATCTGCATGTTCTCTATGTTCCTACTAAGCTTGACTGGAGAAGGAGAGGGGAGAGTCTTATAAAAGTGGTAACACCCCCCTCCCCCCGCCCCCAAAAAAATGTTTTAAGTGGTTACCCAGTGCAAGTTCCATGAGTAATCCCATTTCTCTGGCCTGATAATAAAAATACAGCTCCAGAGAAGCAGTACCAGGGGTTGAATTTGCATAGCCAATTTTAAACTCGGAAATTTCCGTGCACAGGAAGGGAGTCCAGGCTAAGAAAATTCTCATTTCAGGGCCCCTTGGTCAGCACCTCGTTTCTGCTTGCTTTGCTTTGCTTTGGTTTCACATTAGTTTATTCTTCTCCTTGGAAAGTTAGTGCTCAGACAGCTTGTGTGGGTTTCATATCCTCCGCGCTGCTTGTCTTGTAGAGAAAATAGAATAAGAGCTTCCTCTGGATCATCTGTAGCCAGGCCTCAGCCCTATCATGACCAAGACAATGTTGGTTTGTTTGGGGATATTGTAGCTGTTAGAGTTTGTGTTCAAATAACAGTGGCTTCCGAGATCAGAGATGGAGCATATGGCCAGAGACAGTGGCTTTTAAAAATACAAGCTGATTTTTCTCTAAAAATACATGAAGCATGAAGCTAGGACTGGTGCTGGGAACTCCGTGGTGCCAGCTGGATCCCAGGCTCCTCTGTCCTAGTGCCACCCACCCTCAAGGTTGCCTCATGGTCACAAAATGTTTTTGGAACTACAGCCAGTAGATCTGCATTCTAGATAAGGAGGGGGAAAGGCCGCAGGCACCTCTGCCAGAGCTGTGCTGCCTGCCAGCACTGCTCCTGGTGCTGCCAGTTACAGAGTAACTGGCGACGGTCCAGAGAAGAGAACTTGAAGCTGGGTGACTGAATGGAATCTGGGTAAGGACGTGTTGGCTGTATTTGTCTCTCAGGCATCTGTGGCTCCTGTGCAATGAACATCAATGGAGGCAACACTCTAGCTTGCACCCGGAGGATTGACACCAACCTCAACAAAGTCTCAAAAATCTACCCTCTTCCACATATGTATGTGATAAAGGATCTGGTTCCTGTGAGTTTCTGCATCCCTCCCTGCCCCCGCCCCCATATTTTTTGCAAGGGTTGGGGGAGAGGTGTGTTCGGGTTATGCTATTAGTTCTTTCAGGCAGGTTTTTCCTATCTGAGTTTAAGCAATTTGACTGTTGAAAGACAAACAGGCCTGGAAGATCATCCAGCAGCTCATTTGGTGAAGATTTTTTGGAAATAACAGGGCACAAAATTGTAACAATCCCAGAAACGAAGAATTTGGCCATAACTACAAAGAATTCATGTGGGAAATACCAATTGGGAAGCAGCAGTTGATACACAGTTTACTTTCATTTCTACCTCCCTGTACTTGCCCACCTTCCTGAGGGTGTTTGCGAGGGTGGGTGGATGAAGAGGAGATTCGCTAACAGCGCTCAACATTGTGACCATTTCTCCCTCTGAGTCTCCGCCCGTATCCCGCCACAGGAGGATCTGCCTTCAGGCTGTCACAGGGCAGGAACGTAGGCCGAGAAATGGGTGAAGAGAAGGCTGCGGGGATGGTAGAACCTGACCCTTCTCCCTCTTGCCCTCAGGATTTGAGCAACTTCTATGCTCAGTACAAATCCATCGAGCCTTATTTGAAGAAGAAGGATGAGTCCCAGGAAGGCAAGCAGCAGTACCTGCAGTCCATAGAAGACCGCGATAAACTGGTGATTTCCCCCATCTATGGTCTTGATTTGAGGAATTTCGTTGCAAAGATGTTTTCCAGGAAGTGTGTCTTGAAGGGGTGGGAGTGGTCGGGGCGGGTAAGGGCATGAGGTAATGCAGACCTTTTAGTGTGTTCTGGAAGGAACTTCAGAAGCATCTGCCCACGGGTTGGACACCTACCCTCTCGGGGCGGTGGGTAGTGTGAACCCAGAAGGGCAGAGCAGACCAAGGAGATTGTTACCATATTGCAGATGCTTGTCTTCTACAGAAACCAGTGTGGGAACTGCCCCTTCTGTGAAAGCTGACAGCTAACTCAGAGTTGCACTTTAACACTGTTTCATAGGTGGGAATGAAATCGTTACTGGTAAACTGGGCCTAGAGCCTCTGTGTTCTCTCCTACCATCGCACGTCTGGTGATTGCCTTCACACTCTCTTGGAGTTGCTGTTCTCTGTGAGGCAAGGGAGTCTTTGAAAGTGAAGGTTATTACCGAGTTTTCAGTCTCCTCCTGTACTTTCTCCTCCTCTCAGAAGTGTCTGTTTGCACTTTTACCCCCTGCACACTGTGTCCTGTGGAGAGGAAGAGGGGGGAGGGGACCACATGGAGGTGGATCCCAACCACGTGCCTGCATGGGGCCAAGGACATGTGCTTCTGATGGTCACCACTTCGTGTGCTCCTCCAGCGAGCGCTGATCCTAAGAGAGTCCTTTACATTCCTGTCCATCAGACTGAGCCATCGTAGGGACGGTGTCTTACTCCTGGATCCAAGACCCTGGCGCATGTTATTTTACCAATTCATAGTAGTTATGTGAATGAATAAATGAATTCAGCTCTGACATGGAGACGATGGGGGCAGCACGGTGATGTGAGTCAGCACAGCCCCCACTTCTGACTCCTATGGAGTCGAACACATCCCAGGGTCCAGGTTGGAACTGGCCAGTCTGGCCCAACTAGTCATCCCTCATGCTCGGGCAGCTTGTAGCTAGTAAACATCTCCTTGATGTGGGGTTATTAGGGAATGAAGCACGTTTTCTGGATAATCAAAATTTGCTCATTTAAATACCAAACATTTACTTACTTAGCATTTTTCACTTCCTTAAATGAATATGCTAAACATACCTTTTTTCGTGACTCTATGGAGCTGGGGTCAAACCGTAAATACGCTTCTGTGTCCGCGTTGTTCCTTTGTCTGAGCATCTTCCCACAGCCTTAGAAGTTCTTCACAAGCATGAGCTCACACTGGACTCTCTGCTGCTTCCGGTGTGCACGCTGTGTGTTCTTTTTTCTTCTTTTTAATATTTGTATTGATTTCAGAGAGAAAGGGAGAGGGAGCGGGAGATAGAAACATCAATGATGAGAGAGAGTCATTGATTGGTTGCCTCCTGCACACTCCCCACTGGAGATCGAGCCCACAACCCGGGCATGTGCCCCTGACTGGAATCGAACCCGGGAACACTCTATCCACTGAGCCAAACCAGCTAGGGCACTTTGTGTATTCTTTAACCATTCCTACTGTCGTTGAACAATGAGAGTACTTCTTAAAATTTTTTTCTAAAGTAGACTAAAGAATATGACTATAGCCGAAGCCGGTTTGGCTCAGTGGATGGAGCCTCGGCCTGCGGACTGAGAGGTCCCGGGTTCGATTCCGGCCAAGGGCATGTACCTGGGTTGCGGGCACATCCCCAGTGGGGGGTGTGCAGGAGGCGGCTGATCGATGTTTCTCTCTCATCGATGTTTCTGGCTCTCTATCTCTCTCCCTTCCTCTCTGTGAAAAATCAAAAAAATATATTCTTTTTTTAAATTTAAAAAAAAAAAGAATATGACTATAATTAAGGTTCTTAATCCTGTTATCTTATGCTTTCTAGACCAGTGGGGCCAGTTTATATTCTTACCTGCTGCCTGAACAGAATATAGATTTTGTTGAAGACATAAGGTTACAATCAGGACCAACAGCTCTTTGTCATCTGTCATGTTAGTCAGGAACAGATCTGACCAAGGAGCTGGGTGACGGAACCGGAATCTGTTTTGATTTAGCTAATCTTATACTATACTATTCAATCTCTTGAGGAGTATTTGCCTAAAACTTTAGAAGAAGAGATCTGCATGTTCTCTTATCTTCCTACTAAGCTTGACTGGAGAAGGAGAGGGGAGAGTCTTATAAAAGTGGTAACCCAGTGCAAGTTCTTCAGATGGCGGCGTGCCCTTCTGTTCGCTGCCTTCAGTCAGTTCCTGTCCCCAGAATCTGGAAGTCCAGTGTGTAGAACTGGTTGGGCAGATGAGTCAGTGTGGCATGTGTTAAGGAGCAGGGCTTCCAGAGTCAGGCTGCCTGGGTGCCATCCCAGCTCTGCTGCTTGAGCTCTGTGACCCTGGGCAAGTGACCTGACCTCTGTGAGCCTCAGTTCCTTACCTGTAAAATGGGAACCTAATAGGATTATTGTGATAATCAAAGAAGGTAAAGTCGGTAGAGCATGAGGGGCTCAGTACAAGTTGGCTATTATTTAGGATGATGTTGGTTCCCATTGAAAACCTGATGTCTCCTGTGCTGAGCGGGCAGAGGCTGGTATAGACTACTAGAGGCCTCCGCACCAGGCCCTAGCTGCCTCTCCTACACTGTGTTGTAGGTAATGCATCTTGTTTGTTTGTTGGGGTATTAGTGTCTATTTTTATTTTTGTTTGTTTGTTAATCCTCACCTGAGGATATTTTTCCCATTGAGGTTTTTTTTTTTTGTTTTGTTTTTTGAGAGAGAGAGTAGAAAGGAGGTGGGGAGAGAGAGGGAGAAACATCAATGTGAGAGAGACACATCAATTGGCAGAGAGATGGTCTGCTCCTTGAAGGGTCACAGGTTCGATTCCTGGTCAAGGGCACATATCTTAGTGTACTTGGACTTAACCTCTGGGCTGTAATCCAGCAAATGATTACATTTCAGACCCAAGCTCTTTCGAATGGCTCTGGTAAATCTCTGCAAACGACTCCTAGGATTTTCCCAAGAAAACTCCCATGCGAGCGGATGCTTTGTTTATGCTCTAATCCCAAATACCACCTTTAGTCAACTAAGGACATGTGGGCTCTTCTGTCCTGGGCTCCTGACCACGCTTCCTCCTTCCTCACAGGATGGGCTGTACGAGTGCATCCTCTGTGCCTGCTGCAGCACCAGCTGCCCCAGCTACTGGTGGAATGGAGACAAATACTTGGGACCTGCGGTGCTCATGCAGGTGAGGTGCTCCACCATTGCTTTAAGAAACGCTGAAAAAGGCATCCAGAAATCCAAGTGCACAATATGTTGTTGGAAACCAGACATTCTGAGGGGCGATGGCTTCCTTGATTTGCATCCATTCCAAACAAGGTCACAGATTGCTTTGTCTTCACTTGGCTTTCAGTAAACCTAGGGCTTCATCTGCAAAATGCCTTGGTTCTGGTGTGGCGAGGGTCCCGCCCTGAGTGGTGACATGCTGGTGGGCAAACCATGCCTTGCCGATATTTAAAATGTGTTTCCTGTGCGGCTGGCTTTTACCTACCCACTTGCCTGCTTTCCCCAGAATGCATCTGTCATGGCTCCCACCTCCCTCTCACAGGGATTTTAACACGCGAGCAGGGGAGAGCGAAGTGCCGTTGAGGGGGGCCTGCCAGCTCTCAGGTTGGAAATTGTTTGCAGGCTAACGGACGCCTGGAGGACCAGCTGTAGGGGTTGCTCGGAAGAGAAAGTAGTATTGCCTTTCACGATATGAATAGTTCACTGCAAAGAAAGTCACTGTCTTTGTTCCCAGAAAGCTTATGCGTTAGATTTATGGTCCGTGCTTTCCACAGACTCTTAAGCAGCTCACAAAACAACTTAACATTTCTCATTTTCCCACAAAAAGAGAAGTTATGTGGTTGTGTGACCATGTGGCAGTGTTGATTCCCAGCCATGGGAGAGATTGACAACGAGGTGCATTCATAGTTGGCCCTCGAGCCGGTGACCTGGGTTGTTGGGAACATAGAAGTCCTCCAGTCACACTGCAGAGCAGGTCTGGTGATGGGGAGGTGAGTCAGTTTTCAGCTGGCTGGTCTCCGGCTTCTGGGAGGCATACACTAATTAAAGGAATCAGTAAGTGAAGCATAGATGATCTCTAAACAGGGCTGTGAAGTCATCAGTTTACTCAGATACAGGGAGTAGGTGCTATGAAAAATAAAGAGTCATTTTACATAGTCCCTGCCTTCGTAATCTGGGTAGGAAACTAATGAGCAACGTAATAATTAGAAGACGATGCCTGGTCGCGTACTCTTAAGCCCCAGGGTGCCAGGTGCACTGTGGTTCACAGGTTTGTGGGGATCACTAGTCAAGAGGAGTTCAGGAAGAGTTGGGAGCCTTTCCATGAAAGATGGCAAGAATTAAAGCGTGTGCAGACAGGGCGGCGACGCTGAGAGAGTTCCCTGTCCCGCGCTCCTGCAGCTGTGAGGTGAGCCAGAGGCTGCTCTGGCCCGGTAGGTTGACAGCTCAGCTAATCAGCCCCCGGTTCCCAGGCCTATCGCTGGATGATCGACTCCAGAGACGACTTCACGGAGGAGCGCCTGGCCAAGCTGCAGGACCCCTTCTCCCTCTACCGCTGCCACACCATCATGAACTGCACCAGGACCTGTCCCAAGGTATGCGGGGCCGGCGGCCGCAGAGCCACAGTGACAGATGGTCTCTGCTCCAGGGCATGGCAGAGAGCAGACTCGGTCACTGGAGCAGGAGGGACCAGAGCCTCTTCCACAGCTTTGGGAGCGTGTATGTGCTGGTTTCTGAAGATGAGTCAAAGATCGTGGGAATGTGTAAAACCTGTAGAGAGGTCTGGCTAGTTGTGACACCAGCTGTAGTCACAGACGTTCTTTCTTAGATGTCTTTGAGCATTCAGTGAACATGGTTCTGCCCTGGGCTCCTTTGCCTGCCACAGTGAGGCACAGAGAGACCAGAGAGTTCCTGGCCCGGCCTCTGAGTTTTAGAGAGCCTGGTGTGCATTCAGTGCCTGGACACTGCACCAGCTGGGGGAGGGTTCCGCCCAAGGGCATCACTTCTTCCATTCAGTTTCTACCCCTTGGTATTGATTCTCTTCTCTTTTTTCAAGGGGCTGAATCCAGGGAAAGCTATTGCTGAAATCAAGAAAATGATGGCAACCTACAAGGAAAAGAAAGCTTCCGCCTAACTCTTCTCATGCTAACCATGACCTGTAACCAGCTCAGCTGGACATAATTTATATCTAATTTGAGTTTCCATGATTATAGCATGTAAAATAAAGTTTTAAGAAAAAAATAAATGTTATTCTACTTTATTAACCAAAAAGCAAGCCTATTCGTTTTACTCGCTGCAGAGGAATGTGAAGATGCCAGGAGGAGGAGCCTCTAGGGATGGAGGGGGGTGGGTCAGGTGGGGCCAGGCATGA